TTGTTCGGCCATCGGGAAAGAATTGTCTGGGGATAATAAACATCCCCCACCAGAATCCTAACCGGCCTACTATCCTAATTTGTCTAGCGTGTTGCTGTTATCCGTCAACAACTATATTCTGAAACACTTTCTCGTCCTTGAAACTGAGCATTAGAGGTAATACTCGGAAAGCAAACTGGACGTCCATTTTGTGCCCCGGAAGAGGGTCAGTCTTGATGAAGGATCAGAGGAGAGCGGTCGATAACATCTCCAGCAGCTACAGGAGGAGAATTATCTCCATCTATGATTCCAGGATTAACTTCAGTTGATCCTCAGTTTGTATTTTAATAATAATGTAAAATAAATGTCCGTGCAAAGTTAGTGCTTTAATCGATTCAATCTGGCTTGTTATATTGAGTTTCTCTTTCTTTATACGTGAGTTTCTCACCAAGTTTATACTACATTAAAATAATATTGTTTCTAAATGAAAGCATTACAAGAATTTTTCCGTAAACCTTTTTCATCCTGAAACATGAAAAATGCAAAACAATTAAGTTTTATTAATCTTCTGTTTTCCTCACCCTCAATTGTTGTTGTATTTGTTAACCTTTTAAAGAATGCGTAGAAGAAAAGAATGCAGCAATATAAAGGTGTTGATTAATATTATTGAACAGTTTTTAAAAATACTTGAAAGTAATTTTATAACATTAGACTTAATTAACTTAGGTGAAGCATCTTACAGGGACTAGAGACGTAATTTAAAGCCACCTTACGTTTAATTACAAGCCAGGAAAATGCTGGAATTTTCAAATTATCAATCAAAGGTATACAAGGGTAACATTGGGAATCGGGCAAAGCCCTCTTTAAATGGAGAATTACTTGAATACCAACGTGTATTGGACGAGATTAATAGGTTTATATACTGAAGCTTCATCTCTGAAAGATCTGCTGAACAAACAACAGGAATATATCCATGAACAATTATTTCTTAACATAAATCAGACCTGGAAGAACTAGTAACCCATAAACTACCAACCCAACCACAAATTCAGGAACAAAGATATTGAGAAACAATTCTTGTTTAATGCTAAAGTTCTCAGACTTGCAAAAAAGGTTAAAAAGGTGATTAAAGAAGAAAAAGGATGTGGAAAAACCTTGTAAAAGGGGTGATTGACCTCCTTGATACTCATGCAGAAGACCTTCTAGTTGCAAATTCTTCTAGACATGGTAGGCTAACTGTCCATCAGCTTCAAGGTAGACACAACCTCTTCAGTGACTTGCTACAAAAATTCGACAGGATTGATTCTAGAATGGATAGAACAATTAAGGATGGATTTAAAGGAAGTGGCGGATATTGTAAAAAGATGGAAGGGAAAGATCCGGTCCAGGCTTACAGGTAGTTCCTTCAGTTCCTTGTGGGAAGGAAGAGGGGGGGGGGACTGGCTCCCACTGTTCTGAGATCGGTCACTTCTACAGGTAATGTCCAGACTTCTAGAAAGAGGTGCAGGAGTCCAGGAAGAAGTCCTAAGAGATTTTTCCCACAGCAGTTCAATCTTCTCACCAGTTCAGCAAGTTAACAAGGGACCATACTGAACCTGGTAAATGACAGAAACATTCAGAACCAGATCCATTCAAGGTTTGGAATTACTGATGACAGGTATGAAGATATTGATTATTTAGAGTTCTTGGACATTGTAAACCCTCAATTATGTCAATTACATATTGAATTCTGTAATGCCTGATATAATAGGAAGGTTAAAAAGCCATTCTGAAATCTGGAAGACTTTAAATTAAGCTTTTTTCCTTATCTTATGTTATGTATCTTAAGAATAAGTTTGGTTTGAAAGTTATAAGATTTAAAGGATTGAACATTTTAAAGCTTGGTTTGGCGATTCTTTCTTTGGGCTGATTTTTCATAACTATATCCTGTATTTGTTTTAGAAACTCAGATGTCCTGATCCAGTTTAGCAAAAATGTTGAACTCTGTGAAGAAACTGTTCGAAACTTGCCCTTCTGCAAGGACCATCTGTCTTTATCTCTTTCTGAACGAAATAAAAGTGTTTAAAGCATACATTCTCTCTTACAGTTTTAACACTTTAATTAGATATTCAAACTCCACAAAAGTTTTCTTTGCAGAGAATAACAAATTAACAATTTCAACTATTTGTTTAAATTTGTATTTAATATCTGAAGCTGAAAAGGTTGGACGTATACTTTGAATGAGAGCATTTTACAAACAATTAAATCTGAATCAAAATTTCTAGGTTTTACAACAAAAAGCTTGACGTCAAAACAAATTAATTTATATTAAAAACAAATCTGTAAATTAACCATAAAAAAAAAGATGGTTTTCAAAAATCTGACTGAAGCACCTATTATGGGAAAAAGTAATCAAATAAGAAGATTTATATTAGTTTATCAAAATCAGACCTGATAAGTTTCGTTCTAATAAATTTTTGCTATTCTACCAAATTGCTCGTTTTGACGGTGCATCACAAATTAAACTTGAGAATTTGGATTATCAAAATAATGTTTTTAAATTACAATATCACGATCTAAAACTTATCAGTAAGAAAATGGTCAAAAGATCTATCTTTAGATCGTTTTTAAACAAATCCCAACCCTACTCTCTAGCACTAGAATTATATCATTTTCTTCTCAATATATTTCGCCAAAAACTTTGGCATCATCAGGAGTTTGTCCTATAATATAACAGATATAAGCAAAAAATAAAAAATAAAAATAAAAAATAAAAAATACAAGCACAGCAACTAAAATAAACAAAGAAGAGAACAAAAATAAAAATATTTTATGTAAAATGGAATTTTTCAAAATAAATATTGTCAAAACACATAAAACTTAAAAGAAAAATTAGAAAACCGTACCTTACTCTTTTGAAGAGTATTGAATGACTGGAAAAGGATTGACTAGTTTATGGGCGTATGCAGTGGGGGAAGATCTATCTTGCACAGAAACCAATGTTCAGCCCTCATAGACTACTAGTACTTTGAGATTATATTTATATCTTTAACCTTAGCGATGAATCTTTTTTATTTCATAGAAAATAAACATTTGTCTTATTCTGCAGCCTACACCGGTTTTAAAAAACTTATGAAAAAATTTGAAATAATTTTAACTTTTTTATCTCTGCATTCCCCAGGATAGGAGCTACCATGGATATGCTCTAATCTGTATTTAGTCACCACATCAATGATAAGCGTGGAAGATGGAGAGATCCCAAGACAAAGTTTAAATACGCGAAGGATTCGGAACAATTCTCAATAAATATGTTTGCAAATTTTGAGATATGCTAAACTATAATACTGTTTTTTCCTATTTTAAATAAATGTAAAATAAATCTATAGTGGCTTATTTTCATAATTTATTTTACAATAAAATTGAAAAATAAACGCGCGTTTAATGGACATTTAATTAACCAGGTTTAATAATAAAACAAGCATTTGTTTCCTTCATTTGAAAAATCGTAAATTACGAGAAAAAAAATCTTAACTAATTTTTTTGTTTTTACTACAATAATAATAAGAAAATCATTTTTTTTGGAAAAATATTTAAAATGTTTATTATAAACTTGTGTGTCTGTGTTTTGTGTTTGTCTGTTTGTGTATATTTCTACCTTTCTAGTGTCTGGTTTGTCTGTTTGTGTATATTTCTACCTGTCTAGTGTCTGGTTTGTCTGTCTGTGTATATTTCTACCTGTCTAGGGTCTGGTTTGTCTGTTTGTGTATATTTCTACCTGTCTAGTGTCTGGTTTGTCTGTCTGTGTATATTTCTACCTGTCTAGGGTCTGGTTTGTCTGTTTGTGTATATTTCTACCTGTCTAGTGTCTGGTTTGTCTGTTTGTGTATATTTCTACCT